CATCTACTCATTCACATTCTTTTTGCTCCCCTCTCCATCCTTCCCCTTATTACAGAAATAATTCAATAGGGACTTATGGAAACAACACAGATGCTCCAAAGCTAAAGCTAATTAACGTTATCTGTACTAATTTGCATCGTTCTTAATATTACATTTTGATTATGGAAAACTTATCTTCTGGGGTGCTCAGTCTACTCAACCACACCAGCCAGGGCTTTGTGGTTATTTTAAATGGTGTCCCAGAAAAGCAAAGCGGTATCTTCTGGCGGGTATCCTAAACCCAAGTCCTTACCCAAACGTCCAGATTTCTGCGGGTGAACAGGGCAGGCAAACTGGAAAATGCCCAGGCAGTAACAAGTTGTTTCTCCGGTGCCCGGGGACAAGAACAGCACAGCCATCCGGGGAGCCTTTCACGCAGAGCCGGAGAAGGACCCCTGTTCCGTGCTTCCCTCCGATGACAACCTTTTCATAAACCTCTCCAGGCACCCCATTCCCAGAGGCCAGGCCCTGTTCTGGGGAAAAAAAAAAAAAAACAAAAACAAAACATTTCCTGGTCAGCAGCTGTGCGGAGAGCAAGCATCGCTTTGCGCCCGAGAGCCACTTTCTGTAGGCGGGTCGGAGCTCTGCTGAGCTGGTGTCCACAGGAAAACGCCTCCAGACTCCAGTACCAGTCCTGCCCCACATCAGAGGAGTGCGAAAACCATGCTGCGGATCCTGTCTGGAACGGCTCCCATGCAGTACGCCAAAGATAGTTCTGGCCTGCTCCACATCATGCTGAATGGTTCGGAGCCCACAGAAGCCTGTCCCGTAAAAGGTTTTTTGTGTGTTGTTGCGGGTTTTTTGGGCAGATTTTGAAGTTCCCTACTTCCAGAAGGATAAAATCACACTCATTGAGATCTGGGTTATGCATGAAATCGGGGGACCTAACCTGGAGTCCTGCGGAGAAGGCCGTGTGAAAATCCTGGAGGAGCGACGGAAGGAAGTGGGTTTTCGGTCCAGCTGCATGAATGATCGATCACCTGCCAGTGAAGCTCTTAAAGCGCGTGGACCATAGCACTCTTCCTGACTGTGCGTCAAAGCGCTTTGATTTCTGAGTCACCCACTTCAAAGAGGCGTCTGTGTCCACCACAGGTATCTGCATGACATTGCCAGCCACTGACTGAAGAGCCAGCACCCAACCCCATTTTGAGTCCCGTTTACCGGATAAAGAGCGAGCCCCTGAAACCCTAAACGCCCGCCCATCATGACCCCAGGCAAAGCAGAACCCCAGACATGTGCGTTCTCTACTCAGGACCTCGCTGTGTGGCCCCAGGTGTGCTGCCTAGTTTTCAGGTCCGGAAAGCAGTAAATCTCCCCCCCCCCCAAAAAAAAAAGAAAGAAAGAAAAGAAAACTTACCTTCTGAATTATGTTTTCAGACTATTTTAACTTATTTTACTTCCTGAACACACACATAGTGTAACAGCAGGAAAAGTGCCCCAGAGCATGGTTTGGGAGAGGCCGCCCAATATTTAAAAGTGGCTGGGGACAAGGTACCCTTCAGACTGGGTTTGAGATTTCCTTCTGAGAATGAAAATTTGAATAATCAAACCGTGACTAATGAGATTGGTAATCTTTAACAATAACATAGCCAAAGAAGGTCTTTTAGTATTTGATTAGCAATGGAGTAATACTCCAAATCCAGTCAAGGTGACCTGGCTATAATTTTAGAGAACAAGACTTCTACACATGACTAAATACTAAAAAGCATAAACCTCATTGACCATAAGGGCTCTTTTGGAAGACAGTATTAGTGGGGGTGGGGTGTGCGTGGTGGTTATAGTAATCACTGGGACACAGGAGTGGAGAGCAAGTGTTGGTCATATGTCTCCAAGATGGAGCAGAACATACGGTCTTAACCAGCCAACATTCAGTCCACATGAATATACGTATGCTTATGGATAATGTGTGTGTATCAGGTAAAAGCCATTAAGGTTATCCAGCCAGACCCCGGTGCACTCCCTGTGCCACCTTCCCTGGTTTATTTGGCTTCTTGTGCAGGTTTACCTTCAGGCAGCCTTACCTGATGCCATTCCTCCAGTCTCGTAACACCTGTGGGGCCTCTAGGAGTCATTTAGTTTAGCCTCTTCTCAATACACCCTGACTTCTTTTTATTTTTTCAATTATATTTACTTATTTTTAGGGAGAGGGAAAAGTAGGGAGACAGGGAGGAAAACATCAATGTGTGGTTGCCTCTTACATACCACCTTCTGGGGACCTGGCCTGCAACCCAGGCAAGTGCCCTGACTGGGAATTGAACCAACGATCCTTTGATTCACAGGCCTGCATTCAATCCACTGAGCCACACCAGCTAGGACTCACCCTGACTTCTTATCACTTCCCACATGAGACCCACCATCCATCATTATTTTTTAAAATTATATGTTATTGTTTATGCTATTACAGTTGTCCCAGTTTTATCCCTTTGCCCCCTCTACCTAGCCCACCCTCACTCTCTCATGCAAACCCCACACCGTTGTCCATGTCCATGGGTCATGCACATATATTCTTTGTCTACTCTATTCCCTGTACTGTACTTTACATATCCACAACTATTCTGTAAGTCCAATTTGTATTTCTTAATTCCTCTACATTTTGAACCCATCACCCCAAACCCCTGCCATCAGGAAACTGTCAAAATATTCTTTATGTCTATGATTCTGTTTTGCTTGTTTTTTTGTTTTGTTTTTTGGATCCAGTTGTTGATAGATATAATTTATTGCCATTTTATTGTTAATATTGTTGATCTTCTTCTTAATAGATCCCCTTTAACATTTCATATAATATTGGCTTGGTGGTGATGAACTCCTTTAGCTTTTTCTTGTCTGGGAATTTTTTTATCTGTCCTTCCATTCTAAATGATAGCTTTTCTGGACAGAGTAATCTTGGTTGTAGGTCCTTGTTTTTATCACTTTGAATATTTCTTGCCAGTCCTTTCTACTGTGTAGTTTCTGTTGAGAAATCAGCTGACAGTCTTATGGGAGTTCCCTTGTAGCCTTGTAGGTAACTTTTTCTCTTGCTGCTTTTAAGATTTTCTGTCATTAAACTTTTGCATTTTAATTTATGATGTGTCTTGGAGTGGGCCTCTTTGGATTCATCTTGTTTAAGACTCTCTATGCTTCATGGACTTGTATGTCTATTTCTTTCACCAAGTTAGAGAAGTTTTCTGTCATTTTTTCAAATAGGTTTCCAATTTATTGCTCTCTCTCTTCTCCTTCCATCACCCCCATGATGTGAATGTTGGTATGCTTGAAGTTTTTCCAGAGGCTCCCTACACAATCCTCATTTTTTAGTTCTTTTTCTTCTTGCTCTTCTGATTCGTTGTTGTTTTTTTTTTGCTTCCTTATATTCCAAATTGCTGATTTGACTCTCAGCTTCATCTGCTCTACTGTTGATTCCCTGTGAATTGTTCTTTATTTGGATTAGTGTATCCTTCATTTCTGACTGGATTTCTTTTATACTGTTGAGTACCTCACTAAATTCCTTGAGCATCCTTATAAGCAGTTTTGAACTCTTCATCTAGTAAATTGCTTTTAGTTCTTTTTCTGGAGTTTTGTCTGTTCTTTCATTTGGGCCATGTTTCGTTGTCTCCTTGTTTTGGCAGCCTCCCTGTGTTTGTTTCTATGTATAAGGGAGAGCTGCTATATCTACCAGGCTTGGTAGAGTGGCCTAATGTAGTAGTTGTCCTGTAGAGTCCAGTGGCATAGCCTCCCCTAGTCCCACACTGATACCCAAGGTGCACCCACCGTGTGGGTTGTGTATAATAACATCCTGTTGTAGTTGAGCTTTGATTGCTGTTGGCACATCCAAGGTCAGCCTCTACTTGTGTTCTTTCCAGGGTCACACAGCATAAGCTACAAAGAGATTTGCAGATGGCTGCTACTTTTGTTGGGTTTAGACATGCCTCGGCTAGGCCAAGAATTAAACCAAGGCCCACTGCTGCTAGTGCTGTGCTAGGGCAATTTAGAGAGAGGTACAGGGCTTGCTGAAGCCAGATGCTGCTTGTTTGAGAGAATTTAGGAAAATCTGAAGCATGGGCCAAGACAAGCTGTTTGTATAGAAAAGCCACTGGAAATAGCTTGGGCAGGCCTGAAAGTTGGGTGGGGCTGGGTGTCAGAGAATCACCCGGGTAGGACAAACAGCGTGACCTAGGGTGATGAAGTCTCAGATATTGTGCCAACCTATGGGCTCTGGCTCTGTGGGAGGAGGGCTAAGAAAAAGAACAATGGCCTCTGCCAGCACTTCTGTCTGGGAGAAAGGTGCCCTACAGGTCTTGCTCTGATGTTGGACAATTCAGTTCCTCCCCATTTGTCTCTAATGGCTTTCAATCTGCTACCCCCATGTAGAACTCAGAGGGAGTCCAAATAAGTCTTGTGCGCTGGCCCTTTAAGAGGAACTGCCTGGGACTCCAGCAGTTTCTGTCTTCCACAGCCTCAATCCCTGCTGGTTTTTACAACCAGAAGTTATGGGGACTTATCTTCCTGGCACTGAAACCCTGGGCTGAGGAGCCTAGTGTGAGGACTGGGGACCCTCACTGCTGAGATATCCTTCCCGATTTTCATCTGCCACAGGTGGGTGTGGGACCAGCCTATTCCATGTCCCTGCCCCTACCAGTAACAATGTGGTTTCTTCTTTAATTCTATAGTTGTAGGACTTCCATGCAGCTTGATTTCTGATGGTTCTGCATAATGGTTGTTCCAATGGTTAGTTGTAATTTTGACGTCATGGTGCTAGCAGGAGAGCTGTTACCTACATCACCATCTTGACTAGAAGTTTGTCATTCTTTTAAATGAACTTGTCAATCCCTGAGTGAATTTTCTCTCCCAGCTGCAGTTCCAAGGTTTTATTAGGAGAAACTCTTCAGGTCTCTTTTAAGGTTCCTGAATCCTAAACCCACTTTTATGAGGTAAATATGTTCTCGTAAGATTATTTGGGGGCGGGGGGGGAAGGAAACCAATACAACTATTATTTTAACTTCTTTATTTATCAATAGTATCCAAAAAAAAATAGGAGTTACAAAAACAAGTTAAATGCAGTATGGAAGCCTACTAAATACAAATACACTTCACAAACACATAGGCAACAAAACCTGTTCAAATTGCTTCTTGAAATTTGGCTATTTTAAAACAAAGGTGTAAAGACATTCAAACCGGTTCACATGGACCTATTAGCAGGTGGAGGAGCCCTGCTTTCCAAAAGCAGTGGAGTCCAGTGTCATGGCGTGTGAGGTTTCCATGGACACTGGATCTTAGCAGGTGCTGTAATTAATATGTTTATAAAATAAAATTGTATACACACAGAGAAAGCCCAAGGAAGCTTGCAGACTAAGCCATGTGCTTTTAGAGCTGGGGGAACTGAACCCAACTTAATCCTGCTTATTTGCTCCACACAACACTCCACAAATTTGGCTATTTAGCAGCTTTCCATGAATGGTCATCAGATCGAATGATTCTATAGTGCAGACAAGAGCTTCCCTATTTACAGGCAGAATACAGATTTGCTCTTGGGAATTCGTTGTTGCAGAGCAGGATAAGTCTTGGGTGGCAACCACTGTCCCAAATAACTTGTGAGGAGACACTCTGGTTTCTTGCTTTAAACAAACTGGTAGTCCTGCTCTCCCTCCCTTAGCATCCAAGTGCTGGCAAACTTGACCAAGGCCTGTTGCTGGGAGTTCCCAAGGCACTTGGACAGGGAGGAGCATTTCAGACCACACAAGTGGGGTTTGAAGGGAACTTTTAAGTGGGATGATAGATAAAAGCTTAGAATTCTAAATGAAGTGTGGTGTTCTCCTTTCAAAAGAGAACAAGGAAACTTATTTAGAAGATATTCCATTTTCAGTACAACTTTCATCAATCTACATATTTTCCCTCTGCTGGTCTATAATCTGCTTTTTGAAAATGAGACCTTATGTCAAGTGTTTAATCTTTGTTATTCCAAATGTATCCTAAATATGGTACTGAGTAGGGTTAATGACTGCACAGGCCAAAAGACATAGGAAGGACTGACTTCTCATCTATCACAATTTTAAGGTTAAATAGGAAACGCGGAAGTGTAGACAAGTGGCGTGGTTCTCTTCCCCGCTCTCTTCCAAGGCTTTACCTGAGAGGGCTCTGCATCAGAGCACAGCCTGGGGCCATTCAGACCGAGGTCAAATTTGGTCATCTTGTTTTGGCTTTCTAAATCTTCTTGTTCTAACAAATATTCATTTATCCTAAGGAGGAAGGGAAAATCATAGGAACTTGTCTCTCATGGATCAATGATCACAGACTTGATGAAATCAAAAGGTTAATGCATTCCTGCCTGCTCACTGAGGAAGCTGAGACCCTGAAATAGGAAGAGACAAAGCTGAAGTCACTCTCCTAGTCAGTGGTGGACCAATGAGCATATTGATAGGCTGGGATATCTCGCTTAGCTGCACTCGTCTCCATCCTTGAAATACTGATTTGAATGAACTCGGAATAACTGAAAACAAATTAGCTTTTGGATCTTGAAAGCTCTGTATGGAGATGCTCCTCTTCCCCAGGCTCCTGTGTGAGGTACCATGGCTCCTCCGGCAGACCACTGAGCCACTGGAAGCCAGGGGGACAAACTCTGGGCTATGGCTAGTATGTGGCAGGGCAGGAAGTCAGGTGACAGCAGTCCCTGCACCTGGAAGAACCCCAAGTTCCCCTACCTCTGAAATGGTAGGCCTATGGAAAACTAATTACAAAAGCGTAATTTCTAGTCAAGAAAATAAAATATTAAAAATACAACTAATATAATGATAATAATGAAAAAATGAAGTCAACGTGCCAAAAAAAGTTTTACAGAAAAATAGCACCTTTGGTAAGAAGTATTTTTTAAAATTTGGTTAGGTCTCTAAGGGGCTGAGAGTACACAAGTATCTGCATTATTTGGGTATACGTTCCCAGAAACTCCATCAAGTCTGAGGGACACTGAGGAGCTAGGCAGGACAGCTGTGTATCTACAGGCAGTGGTTGGGGCCATGAGGAGATGCAGAGATGCTGGGCTCTGTTATGCTGATAGCGACCAAAAGAACTGGAAGCAGAATGCTTCTTCTCCACTGAGCTTCCCAAAGTCCTCCTCTAGGTACCACCTGCTAAGTTCTCTCTGGCACTGCTTGCCCTCCCTGCAGCGTGTTAGACTCAGAAGTGGGTTCAGATCTGGACCTGCCCCTCTCCCTACTCTGATGCAGTTTCTTTACTTGCCTCCAGCCCCAAAGCCCCATTTATACAGTTTCTCTCAAATCCCTCCTGGAAATGGAGGTTATGGCCCTTTCCCCTCTCGCCAGCCACCCCATTTCCTTTATTGCAAAACAAACAGACAAAATAAAACTTGTTGCTATACAAGCAAATACTGGTGATTTGGCGACTGTAGCAGACTCGTGTATACTGGATTCAGCGCCGAAGTGGAGGAGAAGGTGCCCATCTCTGGACACCGTTCCCTGGTGCCTCCTCACTAGATTTCTTTGGTGCTCACTCTCTTGGCCTTTTCAGCTGTTTCCTTCAAGAAGCAAGAGAAAATAAGTGTTACGAAATATTTTGTTTAAATCACTGGCATTTCTCTAGACCTCAAGACTTTATCTAGCACTGGCAGACACATGCTTACGCCAAATTTTAGTTCTGTTTAGTAGTCCATCTCCTCTGCGGATGGCACACAACTTTGGGGCAAGGATTGTGTCTTATCATGACACGGTCATTTAGGGGCTGTCACTGGATTAAGAGCCGACCCCACTGGGATTCCTATGAAACAATCGGGTCAGGCATGATTAGCCCCACTTTCAAGATGAAGAGAAGGCTACAAAACAGCAGTGCTACAAATGTCCCGAGTCCAAGTGCGGAGAAGTGTTAAGAGCAACAGGCTCCGGAGGCTGGGACCTCAGGTGTGGCTGTGCTGAGTTCTGGAGGACTTGGGGCATATTATGAAACCTTCTATGCCTCCGTGTCTTCAACTACAAAATGAGGGTAATAAGGTACTATCTCTTACAACTGTGATACATCTCTTCAAAAAATACATTCTTCTTTTTTTTTAAGTATTTTATTTATTTATTTTTAGAGAGAGGAGAAGGGAAGGAGAAAGAATGAGAGTGAGAGAAACATCAGTGTGTGGTTGCTCCTCACGTGCCTCCCACTGGGGACCTGGCCTGCAACCCAGGCATGTGCCTTGAGTGGGAATTGAACCAGCGACCCTTGGTTCGCAGGCTGACATTCAGTCCACTGAGCCACACCAGCCAGGGCAGAAGTCATTCTACTTAAAGTCAATGAGCACATGAGGAGATACTCAACATCGATCACTAGAGAAATATAACTCAAAACTACAGTGAGATGCCAGTAGACTAGGATGGCTAAATTTAAAAAAATAAGGTGGGGAGCACAGGGCGGGGTGGGCTGGGATGGGAGAAATAGACAGAAAACTGTACTTGAAAAATAACTAAATAAAAAAAATTATGGACGATGTTGCCAAGTTTGTGGAGAAATTGAAACACTGCTGGTGAGGATGTAAAATGGTACATCACTTTGGAAAACAGGCTGGTATTTCTTCACAAGATAAACAGAGTTACCAAATGACATTCCACTCCTAAATATGTACCCAAGAGAAACAAAACACAAAAGCTGTACAAGAATGTTCATGACACCATTATTCATCATAGCCAGAAAGTAGAAAACCAAATATCCATCAACTGATGAATGGATATATACCATGTAGTATATCCATACCATGGAATGTAATTTAAATTTAAAATAGAATAAAGCATGTATGTCAACTAATTGAAAATAATTTAAATTAAAAAAAAAAGAATGAAACACCAATTCATGCTACAACGAGGATAAACCTTGAAAACATTACACTAAATAAAAAGAGGAAGACAGAAACACTACATATTGAGTAATTCCATTTATATATGTTCAGAACAGGCAAATCTTAAGAGTTAAAAAAGCAGCCCTGGCTGGTGTAGCTCAGTGGATTGAGCACAGGCCTGTGAACCAAACAACTGCGGTTCGATTCCCAGTCAGGGCACATGCGTGGGTTGCAGGCCAGTTCCCAGTGGGGGACACATGAGAGGCAACCACACATTGATGTTTCTCTACCTGTCTCTTTCCCTTCTCCTTTAAAGATAAATAAATAAAATCTTTTAAAAAGAAGTAGATTAGTGGTTACCAGAAAAGAGTGAATATAGTGACTTCTAATGGGTGAGAGGTTTCTTTTGGAGATGATGAAAATGTTCTTGTGGCTGACAATCTTGTGACTACACTAAAAACCACTGGACTGTACATTTCATTATCTTTTTAATGTTTTTTAAAATTACATTTTATGATTTTGCTATTACAGTTGTCCCAATTTTCCCTCCTTTGTCCCCCTTCAGCCAGCACCCCACACTACCTTAGGTAATCCCCACTGTTCATGTCCACGGGTCATGAGTATAAGTTCTTTGGCTTCTCCATTCCCTACACTGAACTTTACCTCCCCATGGCTGTTCTGTAACCACCCATTTGTACTTCTTAATCCTCTCACTTCTTCACCTTTCTCCTAAAACTCTCTCTGTATCCATGATTCAGTCTTCTTGTTTGCTTAGTTTCTTCTTTAGATTGAATTATTGACAAGCATGCATTTAATTGTTCATAGCTTTGATATTCTTTTCTGAAATAAAGTCCCTTTAATCTTTCATATAATGGTTTGGTGAGGATGAATCCTTTTTAAAGATTTATTTATTTATTTTTAGTGAGAGGGGCAGGGAGGGAGAAAGAGATAGAGAGAACCATCAATGCATGGTTGTCTCCTGAGCGCCTCCCATGGGGGATCTGGTCCACAACCCAGACATGTGCCCCGAATGGGAATCAAACCAGCAACCCATTGGTTCACAGGCCAGCACTCAATCCACTGAGCCACACTAGCCGGGGCTAGAAATGCTTTTAAGATTTTCTCTTTACCTTTTGGCATTAGAATTATGACAAGTCTTGGTATGGGCCTCTTTGCATCCCTCTTGTTTGGGACTCTCTGTGTTTCCTGGATTTGCATGTCTGTTTCCCTCACTAAATTAGGGAAGTTTTCTTTCATTATTTTTTCAAATAGATTTTCAGTTTCTTGTTCTCTCTTCTCCTTCTGGCACTCTTACGATGGGAATGTTGGAATGCCTGAAGTTGTTCCAGAGGCTGCTTATAGCATCCTCATATTTTTGGATTCTTTTTCCTTCTTGTTGTTCTGATTGGTTGTTTTTTTGCTTTCTAATGTTCTAAATCACTGATGTGATTCTCAGCTTCATCCACTCTATTGTTTCCCATAAATTGTTCTCTTTCAATTAGTGTACCTTCATTTCTGACTGGATCTTTTTCATGCTGTTGAGGCCCTCACTAAGTTCCTTGAACATCTTTATAACCAGTGTTTTTGAAATCTGTATCTGATATATTGCTTATCTCCATTATGTTTAGTTCTTTTTCTGGAGTTTGATTTGTTCTTTCATTGGGGCCATGTTTCTTTGTCTCCTCATTTTGGCAGCCTCCCTGTGTCTCTTTCTGTGTATTGGGTAGAGCTATTATGACTCCCTGCCTTGGTAGCATGGCCTAATATAGTAGGTGTCCTGTAGGTTCCAGTAGCACAGCGTCCCTTATCACCCAAGCTGGGTTCTCAAGGTGTGCTCTTCATGTGGGCTGAGTACACCCTCCTCTTGTAGTTGGGCCTTGGTTGCTGTTGGCAACTGATGGGAGGGGTTTACCCAGGCCCATCAGTTGCAAGGATTGGCTGTGACCACTGACCACCACCTCCACCCTCCATGGAGGATCAGCTGTGCAGGGGCAGGGTGGTGGTGCTCTGATGTGGTTCTGTAGCTGTCCACTGGGTGCACAGGCCCTAGGGTTTCCCAGGTGGTGCAGGCCAAGATCAACTCCTCCCTGTGTTTTGCCAGAGACCACCCTGCCTGAGCTATAGAGGAACCTGAGATGGCTGCTACTTGTGCTGGGCTAGATTACCAGGTGAAGCCAAACTGCAAATCTACACTGGCAGTTGCTAGTGCCAGGCCTGGGGCCACTTGGCAAGACGCACAAGGTAAGAGGGTTGGGGGCTTCAACAAACTGAAGCCCAGCTATTGCTTGTTTGAAAGGATTTAAGTAGTTGTGAAGCATGAGCCAAGACTAGGCATTCATATGAAAAAACTACTGTTAAGAGCTGTAAGTTGGGTGGGATGGAGTCTCAGGGGATTTCCATAACTGGGGTGGGGTGGGGGACAAACAGTGTTAGCCAGGTTGATGGAGTCTCAGATAGATGGCACCCACCTGCTAGCTCGGTGGCTGTGCCCATCTTTCTGTCTTGGAGAAAGCTGTCTCCCAGCTCTCACCTTGATGCCAGCCACTTCAGTGTCTCCCTGTCTGCCACTGGTGCCTTCCAAGCTGATACTCCAGTGCTGGAGCTCAGAGGGAGTGAGTCTGAGTAAGTTTGTGTGTGGGTTCCTTCAGAGGAACTACTTGGGACTCTAGAAGTTTCTTCCACCAACTCAATCTCTCTGCTGGTTTTTGCAGCCAGAAGTTGTGGGGGCTTATCTTCCTGGCACTGGAACCCTGGGCTGGAGGCCTGATGTGGGCTTGCACTCCTTGCTCCCAAAATAGCCCTCCTGAATTTTTATCCACCACACATGGGTGAGGGAGCAGCCTGTCTAAGTCTGTGCCCCTCCTACCAGTCTGGATGGATGTAGTTTCTTTAATTCCATAGTTGTCAGACTTCCACTCAACTTGATTTCTGATGGTTCTGAGTGATGGCTGTTCTATAATTTCACTGTAATTCTGATGTGGTTGTGCAAGGAGGCGAGCCACATTTACCTATGGCACCATATTGACTAGAAGAGTCCTTATAACAAGGTGTAGCCAGGGGGCCCCCAAAGAGGGATTTGTAATAGGGTCCAGAACTCAGGATGTTCAGGAATTATTAAAAAAACATAGGATGCCCTCGCCCTCACAAATCTGAACTGGGGGATAGGACACATGGAGCAGAGCCATTGAGAGTTGCTCTGCATAGCAAGTTTTTCAAATAACCTCGGGCATGGTCATTTAACATATCTATAACTTTTAACTGGTTTCATGGATATGTTAAACAGCTGTGACCTTGCTTTGAGCCAGGGAGATGAGAATGACTTCAACCCATGACTTAACTGGGAGGCAACTCCCCCTGGTTACAGCACCCGAGTAAGAGCTTGGAGATGACTGGCTCCATGCCATATAGGGCCACACCTGCCCAGACTTACTATGGCAGCCCAGAAAAGCTGGCAAAATACACGAATGCTGGCAGGTATAGCTGATTGTGGGAGGAGTTAGAAATGGGGATGCAGAGGAAAACTGGCACTGGGATGTAAACTCAGGTGCAGCAGCCATGCAAGGGGCAGGGATCATGCAGCTTTGGTGACAGGGAGGGGACAGTGAGGCTTTGGTGAGGGGGATTCACGCAGCTTTGGTGAGAAGGGAAAACCATGCGGCTCTGGGGCTCCTTTGCCATGCAGCTTAGGAAGCTGGAAAGCAAGACGTAGCAGCGATGTAGAGCTCTCTCTTAGCAGTTTGGAAGAAGGCAGGAGAGACACTGCAGGAAGGAAAGGGGTGAAAGGACTCTTGCTGGTGGGAGAGCAGAGGTGCCATGTGGGTTTAGATTAAGAACTGGAGATTGCAGCGGCGACACAGCTGATGGTGCTGGGAACTGAGGGAGGCCTGCCAGCAGAGCATGGATTACTGGGAAGAACCGGGGGCTGCCTGAGCCACAGACTTCTATTTCTTTTCCTGAGATATGGTACCCTGGACTAGGCAAAGGGGAAAAGGAAGAACTGTGTGTGTTTGTGGGTGTTTTAAGAGACTTTGGGATTTTAATGAAGACATTAAGTCATTACTCTTAAGTTAGTGTAACTTTTGAATAAATAATGCCTTTCCTTTTCACCAATCTCTGGCATAGAGAGCTGTAATTCCCTGACAGCAGGCAAGGCGAACCTAGTACAGGGGGACCCCAGCAGGAGGGGGGTCCATTCAGTAATAGTATATTATGCCCCCCTGCATGGGTCTGTTTGGTAACACCCTGTTAATCTGCACTGTCATTTTAAAGATGTGAATTTTATATTCAAATTTTATTTCAAAAAAATTAAATAGAAAAGAAAATGACGAAAGTGACTGGCATCTAGCAGACACTGTTGGTGCCCCATCCATGGCCCCTTGTCTTTACTCTTTCAGTTCACTGAACTGGCTTCTTACTGCCTCTTTTTCTCTGGTAGTAGGAGCCTGCTCTGCTCACACGTGTTGGCAGGCCAGAAATGCCCAGTAATTGATGTTTGCTTATGGCAGCCCTTGCTAGGGGCTGACAGGAATTCATGCAGGAATCCCTTCCGGCATGCTAACTGTTCCCAGAGTTCCACACCAGAACTAAGCTCCACTTGCCTGCAGTGATAAACCTCCTGGACACACGCTACTGCTTCCTCCCCTTCCTGAGCTCAGCTCCCAACTCCCCTCCTGGTGTTTCCTGGGATTGCCTCCCAAATAAACTATGTGTACTTGAGTCCCTGCCATAGTATCTGCACCTGAGGGGACTTACATAGACAGAGACACTTAAAAATGAAAGATAGGAGTCTCTGCTTTGGTTTAAAAAACTGACATGAGATTTCTACAGTATTAGTAAAGATAATGATAAAATGCATATAAAGTCAATAAATATGAGCAATGAATATTAACAATTCTTTATTTTCAGTCAAATATTTCATCTCAATAGTTTACCAGTTCTTATGATTGGTATATTCCTTAAAAACTACATCAGGGCCCTAGCCAGTGTAGCTCAATTGGTTGTAGCACTATCCTGTAAAGTGAAAGGTCATAGGTTCGATTCCTGGTTAGATAGAAACTGATCGATATTTCTATCTCACATAGATGTTTCTCTTCCTCTCTTGCCCTTCCTCTTCCTCTCTCTAAAATCAATAAGCATGTCCTCAGGTGAGAATAAAAAAAATTAAAAAAAAAAAACCAAAACAACTTATATGTCAGAGGGAAGGCTTGTATTACCAGACCCAGTCTACACACAGGTGACTTAAGGTACAATATCCTTCGTTAAGACTTTATGGTAAACTAGTGGAAAGACAGGCCTGGGAGTCCAGCACACCTATGTCTTCTCTATAGGACCGTAGCAAAATATGTCAGTGGATCACTATTCTGTTAAGCACCTTTTCCCCAAGAAGGCCTCCAACTTGACATAGAAACTGAACGGAATTCTCATTATCTTCTCAAGTCTCTAGGAAGCAGAACGTTGAAGTTTCCGGTGTTTGTCAGTCCAGGCTGTTTTCTAGCCAGCATAGCATTTAACATAAATCCTTTCTCCTCTAGTCCAAATCCATTAATTTCATGCTCACCGAGAACCAACCATACACCCAACCCTGTGGTAAATACAGGGATGCAATGGTGAGCAAGCCATAGAGCTTTGCCTTCAGGAATTTATGGTCTGTGTCTGGGTACTTGTGACAGAAAACAGTAAACTTCTTTAGTTCTTGCTCATTTGCAAACCATTTCCAACCCATCTGCAAATCACCTACTGACTGATTCTTACTAATAAAGCAATTCTGCTAGGACCTGCGGGACCCTGCGAGGACCCCATCAGAGAGCTGTATTGTGGTTGGATATTATAGGTGTATCATTCAGGGTCTACTGCACTGAAGAGGGTGCATCTTTTTGGTCTCCTGGGCTATTAGGCAATGTCTGCATGGTGGAAGGGCCTCGTGGCGGCAAAGACACCTGAATCAGCAGGGAGGCTGCAACTCACCTGGTGCTTTTGGAGCTCCTGGACATATCTTGTCATCTCCTCCTCTGTCTGGGTCTGGACCCCCTTCTGATTCTTTCCTGCAAGAAGAACCAAGGCTCAGAGCACAGGTAGCTGAGGGAAGCCAGTTAGAGATCCCGCTGGTATCCACTTTCTAGGTTCTTAATTTTACCTCCCATTTAATTCGCGGAAGAGTGAATTACTCACATTTCTCTGCTACCTCCAAAGCAACACACTGAAAACAAAACAATCTACACCCACTATCTTTTGGCCTCTGTTTCTAGTGTCTTCAACTGTTCTGTACATCTGCTCCAGGACTGGCCTTGCAGAAAGAGCTACAAAGAAAATCTGGATTTTGACTCTGGAATTCTTCTGGGGCAATGCTCCCCTACCATTCACAGATCCTAGAGAACATTTCAAAATACAACTGCTTAGACTGCATCTTCAGAGACTCTGATGTCATTGTTGTGAGGTCGGGCCTGGGCACAGCGTCCTAGAATGCTCTCAAGGTGGTTCAGATGTGCAGCCAGGGTCGGTAACAACACACCTACAATGTTTACCAAACTTGCACACACACACACACACACACACACACACACACACACACACAAAATTACAGCATATATCTTAAAAACGTAGGTTACTAAACTGCTCTTTGGCAGATTTTGATTCAGGAGGTTTGGGATGGAACCCAGGGATCGGGACATTTAACTGGGAACAGTACTTGTGGGAAATGCTGCTCCACTACAGCTTCCTGACTTAAGCATCAAGCTGCCCCTCACGGCGATTTCCCTCAGTTCTGGCTCCAGCTGGCTTCACATCTCGGTGCTCCTTCTTTTCTATGCCATTGGGATTTAGGATTTAACTTTCAAGTACTGACCTGAAAGTCCCTTGGAATGACACCGCTACACTGTCCTCTCCGATCCCTGGCCCACACACCAAGACACGCGAAGGCCTCTGGGGTGCCGCCATGGAGAGTGCTCTTTATACCCATGTAGACTCTGAACCTGGGCCACCCAGGGAGGATCAACAGTCCAGGGCTGCTGTGAAAATGAGCAGTGTCCCATGGGAGCAATCATTTGGATTTTGTCTGATGCATGTGATGGGTCTCATTGTCCAGATGACCGTACCAGCTGTTCACCAACTGCCTGTGTCCTAGAAATGGATGGCTACCTCTGCTAAGCCAGACCAGGAGCAGTCAGGCATGGACAGCTACGGTGGAGAGTTTTGGGAAGATGAGTACAGGATGCTTCCTGGTTGAGGTACTGTTTTAAGATGTTCTCTCCTGGCTTCAGTAGCTCCCGTGTGCTTGGCCGGGCTACCTTGGCTTTGATTTGGCCTCCAGCAACTTCTAGGCATTTCTAGTCTCTAAACAGCCTCTTCCTGCTCTTTCATTTGTGTCTGAAGTTAGACTGGCTTTCTGCCCTTTCACACTGAGAAGAGACTCGGTCGCAGGGAGTGGGAGACAAGGGATCCCCTGGGTAGTACTGAGTTCCATTTGTACTATTGGTGTTGTCTGGCTTTTTGTCTAGAACCACCTCTTCCTGGATCCTCCACCTCCAGTTAGTTACCAGATTATCTGACCTTAAACATGATCCTAGGACCAGCCTGCTTTTTTCTTGTCTCAGTTGGCTTTTTAAGATATAATTTTAAGTTCATTGTAGGTATAAATTTTGTACTTGACTTCTTCCAACTGACCTTTCTTCCCAAAGTAGATGTGACCTGGCTTCACCCTTCTCTGTTTTGCTTCCATTCTGAATGGTGCTTGTTTTCTCCCCCTAGGTCCTGGCTTTAATCTTTGACATCACTGTAGCCCAGAACCTTGAGGGGACCCTGGTGGTTCCAACATACACTCTGGCTTCTGCATTGGTCCCCCAAACTCTGATGTCTCTGTATCCCTGACCCACCCTGCACATGTCTCAAACACCTTGACTTTCTCTTTTTCAAAGGAACATCTAATTCTGTAGGCCCAAAGGTCTACAAACATTTTTCCTTTTTCTCTTGAGAATGGGTGGTGAGGAGGAGTCTTTTCATCTCCAAACGCCTGAGTCTTTTACACAGATTTTCTAAGCTGTCATAAGGATTAAGTGGGTTATGTAAAGTGCTTAGAAGAGTGCCTGGCACGCTGTTCTCACTAACTAAGTGTGTGCTCTCATTATGACCATTACTATTCCAATCTCATATCAACACCGGATCTTGCCCTGGGTCTTGAACCTCCTGCTACCCAGGTTCCTTGCTCCCAGCTACCACCTTACTCTTCTCCGTCACCCCCACCCTGACTTCTCTCGTGGTGATTTCAAGAAGGACACTCTCTCCCCATTGCTCCTTCTTTCTGCCTGGGGCACAGCTCACCGTCACAGGTCATGGCCGTGCAGACCCAGTTTCCGCAGGCACAGACGCAGCGGTTACAGTCCACCTCGGTCTCCGCTCCGTCGGCATACATTTCATCCTCCAGGGCACACTCTGTTGGGACCAGATATAAGGGTGATAGTTTAGGGTGAAGGTGGAACAGAGCATCTTTACTACAGTCTGTGTACCTTACCCTTTCCCCAGACAAAACCTTGACTTTCTCTTTTTTAAAGGAACATCTAATTCTGTTAGCCTGTCCCTCATAAGCACCATATCTGAGCAAATGCTACCAACAACCACAGGTTTGGGGACCTGAACAGCACCATGGAGATGATGGGCTGGAGCCAACCTAGAACTGTGGAAAGGAATTTTCTTAGCAAGCTCTGGAGCGTTCCATCAACTCTAGCCCTCTCAAAATGCTGCTACTTCCTGTATCTCCCCATTTTGGGTTAAGCATACTCTTCTCTGGAGGGTTGAAGGATGGGTTGAGGCACTTGAGGAACTCTTGGAAGCTGAGTTTCCAGTCAGCATTTTCATCAGACAGTTCAATGAGAGCGTCGACACAGAGTCCTCTGAAACAAAACACAGGAGAAATGGGTCGCCCGGCCCCCAGCTTCACTCCTGAAGAAAGGAAATCAGCACGAGAACCACATACACCTGGAGCTCCCAAGGGAGGCCAAGCAAGTGACTGTTAATTGAGAAAGTTTCTCTCTATACTGACCTCCCACAACCATCGACCGTCCTGACTCCTGTAAACATCCAGCCTTCGGTTTGTTGTACCAGATGTCAGATCACTCAAATGTTCCTCCCAAGGCAACTACAATTTCCTGAATGGTTCTGTCCAATTTTGATTGACAAATGTTTCACTACCTGCACACCTTCTACCAGTAACTGCCTTTCCCTATGGTGTAAGCCAACCAAACTAGGAAAATCAAGACAGAAGAGAGGGTAATAGATGACGTGAAAGGAATGTGGGATCTGGAAAAATGTGGAGTTCAACAAGCATCACCATTCTAGAGAGCGATCTTCCAGAAAAGGTTCATAGAATCCCAGCTCCCTCAGTCTCCTGTGGCTGGACCTGAGCCCTGGTCAAGCACTTACTACCCAAATGGCCTTGAGCTAATTATTCAGCCTTCCTGTGCCTGCTTTCTCATCTGTAAAGTGAGGACAAGAGGTCCTCCTTCACTGGGATGTTATGAAGAGCAAATGCTGAACTTGTAAAATACTGTCTAACTTCATATCAAAATATGAAGGATTTTCAGGTATTATGTGTAGGCCACAGACTATCATTAAGAAGAATCTTTCTAGAATCTGGGCTTCAGGCTTTGTACTTCTTTTGAACCAAGTGGTGCTTAAACTATTTTTAATTCTTACCAGTGTGCTGGAACCACACCAGAAGTTTAACTTTTATTAATATTTACGCTGGAATAATACTAGAAATGGAGAGGGATGTACTCACATTTGTAATAATTAGGGTTCTCTATGTGAAATAGCACCAATTATCTTAAAATCAGAACTAAAACAATTTCAGATGTACAGTTAGGTAATAATACATTAAAGTAATTCCGTCAGAAAATTAACCATTAAAACATTACTCACAACACCCAGAAACAACTTTGCTCTGATGCAATCTTGGTCATTTATTTAAAAATTACATTCTTCTATTCCTTGCAAGTTCTAGCCAAAAATAATAACCACCTGATCGGATACCAGTGGTGCTGAATTTATTAGTTCACAAAGTTCATAATGTTCATGGAACAGACCAGGACAGAGTTCCTATTTTGTGTTTCAATTCATATTAGCAGTGGCAGCTCCTCTGCAGGTAGGGTTTCAGATCCCCTCTCTGGTCCAGCCTTCCCCTCAGGGTCCCCTCCTTGCCCCGCTCACCCCACTCACCTAAGCAGCTTGTTATTCTCCTGGTCTGCGTAGGTGGTGATGTTGATGGCGGTTTCATTCTGCTCCACAAATTTCAGGAATTCACTGGAGTCCAGGTGAGAGTCACCATTATCGAAGTTCTAGAAAGGGGGTGAAGGGATCTTTCAGGAACATTTTGTAGAACCCAGTTCCAGCATTCCCTGGCTCAGCTTGACCCGCCTCAGGTTCACCTTGTTCTTGACATGTTCCAACCAACCCTGCCCTGGCTGGGTGTCCAGAGAGCTACAGCACCCAAGGCCCAAACCCCTGGGCCCCCAGAGAAAGCCTCAAGGACAGAGAGTGAAAGTGCGTGGGTAGAGGCTACAGAGAGCCTTTCAAACCCAGACCCTCGGGAAGGCAGCCTGAGCACAGCCTGCCGTAGCCAAGAAGCCTGGTGCCTTGAGAGACTCTGCAGACAGTCTCGATGGCACCCCTGGGGTCAGGCTAGCCACCATGCCACATTCTCAAACCCTAATGAACATCTAATAACAAAGCTGTGAGTCAGAACCTCTGCAGCAGAGTCCAAGATGCGTATTCCTAACACGCTGCTTGGGAACAATGACAAAGGTGGCTCTCAGAGCTCACGGGACCATTTCTCACTGCTTGATTTCCAGCTTCCCTTGCCGGCTCAGTGCTTAACTCTCGCACTGGTGCCCCTGCACCAGGGAGGAGTCAAAGGCCAAGGGTCTGCATCAAAAACCTGCAGTCAGAGGTGCTGCAAAGTCCCCATCGCTCTGCCCTGTGCTGTGGGCCCCACTGCAGACAGGCGCACAGGTCCTCAGCTCAGCTGGGGCAGGCTGTCCCCATGGCCCAGCTGGCATCCCACAAGCACAAGGCGAGGGTGCCGTGAGCTCAGGCATTGCTCCCACTTTGTCAAGAGAATAAACCAAGACCTTCCACTCCTGCCTTAGCTGCAGGTGGAGGTTGTCAGTTTCAAGGCAGGGATGAAATTCTAAGTTGGACACTTTTGTTTTCCTAAAATAGTTCCCATGGAAAAAAACTTTTTTTCAAAATTCTTTTCTTAGGCTGCCTCGAGTTCTGCCCTAGGAAATAATCAGCACCCCCATGTTACCTCCTAGGTGGCTCCCCAGAAGGTGTAAGGAATTCTGGAGGAAAGGTCTGCCCAGGTTCCTAGGGTGTGGGTAAAGGTACAGCTCCCAGCTCTCCTGCCATTACTATCGTGGGCACGTGCATTCCACTTTGAGGTGATATATCTTTCCATACATGTGCAGTAACAGGAATGTGTAAGACAACTATGACGGCCTTGTTTAGCACTTGTTTACCACCACTCTTGTCCGAAAGCCTAGGAAGAGATCTCACATGTAGTCACTACACATTCACCCTGAGGAAACTTCCCTGAATGTTCACCTATGTCACCTTGATTAATTAAGGGAGAGAAATGAAATGAGGTTGACCGGGTGACATGCTTAACAATGCAGAACTTTCCTGAGTCCAAATGTTGCAAGTGCTGGGCAGACCAGAGCAACTCCTACAGAGCCCTGGCTCCGTCAGGGCCTGAGTCAGACCGAGTGCAGGGAGAGGAACAGTCCGGCAGTGGCTGTAGACCCAGAGGGCGCCAGGGGTACCCAGAACCTGAAGACTGCAGCCCAGGCAGCCCTCAAAAGGCAGTGCTGAGTGCACTCACTTCACATTCACTGGGACCAGAGTCCAGGCCTGCAGCTGTGAGAGGGGCCAGCTTGCCTGTACTCATCTCACAGGAGCCCCGTTGGGCTTCCCCAGGCCAGGTCTGTATGTGGAACCCATAGGAAAAACGAGGTCTGATACCAGCCCTGGAAACAACTAAGAATCCCTAGGGGGCCTGCATGTGAAGGGGTCAGGGAAGGATCATGAACTTGGACCATGAACCAACCTTAGTTCACTTGGCCTCTGTTCAACCAACCGGCTACAAAGGCATAATACCTCCTTATTCCCACATTTCCCAGCTTTATACTTGAAATAACCTGATTCTTCTGTGTAACCACAGGGTTGTGGAAAGGCAGGCAGTGTGTTATGAGAGCCATGTTTGAGGTTTACTGCAAGTTTGGAGGCTGTTGAAAGGAGAAGGGCTAGGCCAGGCCTCACTCACGCACAGTAGCTGGGATGATGGGGAACGTAATACCAGGGTAAGGGAGATAAGAAGGCCGGGTCCAGTCTCAGCCTGGCCACCAGAGTCTGCCACCCAGAGTCCAGGGTGTGTGTGTGACACGGCCATGAAAGGCTCTTTCGGCCTGGGTCTTCCCTCCTCATTCTGCTGCGCTTTCGCCTAAGAAAGAGTGACTGAATCACCAGCTGAGGTGAGACTGATATTGATTTAGCCACATTCTGGTTAGATTTGCTTTTTAACTAATCTTCCTACAAGGAATGCCAGCTGGGCTAGAGGGCAATTCACTGGTTCAGAAACAGTCCCTGTGAGATATCAGATCACTTATCAACAGGCAACTGTCTGGCTGGTGGGAGGGAGTCTCCCTTTGAAGACGGTACACACAGGTCTCAGGTAATCATCAAAAAGTAGGTAGCGAAGGACATATAAAGAGCTTCCCAGACAAGGGAAAGCTAAAGGAGTTCATCACCACCAACATGTGCGCTGGATCTCAGACTGTGCTGCTCGACTCCCACTGACTGAGCTGCTCAGAAGGCCCCTGTCACTGCTCCACAGAAGGAACTACGAGGAGGAAACACTCAAGGGCTCTCGCGGGTTTGTATTTCCTTGTGGTGTGGCCATGGGAGAGGGAGTCTCCCTTTCTCTGGGGCTGACCAGTCTTTGGCCCCCAGCTTCGGATTACCTTAAAGTACTTGTCCAGGATTTCACTGTAGTTGCTGCCCTTGGAGAACCAGCCGTCTGGAATGATCTCTGCTTCCAGCCACTGGATGATGCGGCGCCGGAGCTCATCACGGTTGGACTGATAGCAAACGACTGCGGGAAAGGGAGAGAGGCCAGCCGAGTGTCACCTGGGACGCACCATGTGGAAGCCCCCTGTCAGGGCTGAGGGCAGCATGGCACTGAATTCCACAGGGAAACGGATGCTCAAGCACTTGTCGCAGGGGAGTCAACCCGCGGCGCGCACTGGAAATATCTGACCCAGGATTCAAACTCATGTCTCTAAAGAATATATAAAGATCAGTAACACTGAAAACGAGAGACTATGTTGCTTAGGTGAGAAAAAAGGGAAGAGCAGCAAAACGAAGGACATTTTCATTAATTTTATGAAGCTGAGGGGAAAATAATCAACAGAACAGCTCTCTTGGCTCAAAGATCAGCTGAAATAATAAATGAATACAGAAGAACATTGCAATTCTTTATGCCACTGGATTTCTGATCCCCTCTGTGTGGTTCTTCTCTCTCTCATCAGCCACGTCTGTCAAAAACTTTCTTCCACCTAGAACTCACACCGCTGCGTCATCCTTTGTTATACACGGCAGAAAACGAGGCCAAGGGAGGGCCCTGCTGAAGCTGTGTGAGCCACATGGAAACAAGGGAGGGGCTGAGAGATGGGTGGATGGGGAAGCAGAGAAGGGACAGGCTGGCGAAAGGGAATTCCCGGAAGACAGTATGTTAGGATGTGCAAACGGCACTGAGGCAGTAAATGAAATCTGGGCACCTTCCCCACTCTGCCACTGTTTAGCTGTGTGATTCAGGGAAAGTCACTTGGCCTCCCTGAGACTCAATATCCTCATGTGTAAGATAATTACAGTGAGACCTACCTCACAAGGTTATTGTGAAGATTTAAGAAGAAGTATATGCTAAAGGAGTCTGTAACAATAAATCATAATGAAATTTTACTTTTTATTCATAGAAAATCACAGAATAAATCTTACTGGCATTTTAAATGATCTCCTTTCAGAAAATTGTGCCTTCTGACTCTGCTCAGCCCATGACATCAGCATGTCTTACAGAGCATTGGAGGAAGGACTCAGTGGCTTTCTTGTCCTTGCAGTTCAATCACTACTCAGAAAAATGCAAAATGCAGCCAACGTTCTGACCCAACTGGATGCTTCAAATGGCAAACACAAAAGTGAAGTTTTGCAGCTTTCTGAGCTATGTTGAAGAGCGACCAGTTAGTTGTGGGTCACTGGGACTCACACATAGAAGATCTTGTGATCTTCAGCAGGGACTGTGGGGCATGAAGTTTCCATCATGAAAGAATTTCCTCCCTAAGATGCACACGGCAGAAAAACAGGCACTCACCAGGGCTGGCAGAGGGACTTACAGACTTCTTCTCTGAAAGACAAAAGAAGAACATGCATAATGCAAAGTAAAGGAAAAAGAAAATTGCAGTGTATTACTGGGATTATAGCTGCCCCACATTAAAAGAGTCATGTCATTTTTTCATTGTTTTGTCTTAAGCCCTTGTCTCCTATTCTTCTTCCAAGACGCAAGTTTAGGGGTCTTTTCTTTCCTGCTTTGTTTGACATTTTCAGGCCACCAAAGTCCCTCCTAGTCTCACACTTCGTCTTGTTAGGTTGAGGGGTAGGGGAGGTCACTGGGACTTTGATAATTCACGTGGAATCACTATGGACATGGAAATGGAGTGGAGACCAACACGTGGGAAACAGCTTCTTATTTCTCCAGGGAAGTTTAAGGCTGAGAAAGGCTAGGCCGGGAGCTAGTGTCTAATGAGCAACAAGTGTGGGACCTCTGCCCTCTTATCCTAATGACAATGGTTTGAGTGTAATAATACCAGGACTGAGAGGTACCCAGATTTTAAAAGAATGGAAAAAGTGAAACTAACCTGCTTTTTAAAAGATACAGAATGCACTTAAACACTTCCTTATTATTATCAATTATTGATGTGGCTCCCTATCCACTATCTAGCTGCAGACAGAGCTGGAAGCCCCCCTGAGGGTCAGATGTAGGAAACCTTGTGGACAGGCCTGGGCCATCCTGGATGAACCAAGCAGGCTCATGAGTGTCAAGAGGATACGCCTCCAAGAACCTCCAAGAACCTGGGTGGGTGGTGTCTATAGCTTTGGGTGCTGCGGTCGGGGTGGAAAGGACTCCCAGAACCCACACCATACTGCTCTGTTCCCTGGCCCCCCACGGCTGCAGCTGGGATATGGTGGTGAGAGCATTGCCTACCTTTGCAGTGTCCATCATAGTCAACCTGGATTTTGGATCCCGTGAGGCAGGCATCTCGATGCAGCTCACAGTGGTTGAGGTAGGTCTTGCCGTTGCTGCCACACACAGGCCTCTTGTGAGGTTTACATTGCTGAAACAGACCAGCAGAGGGTGTTTGTGCAATCGAGGGTGTCGACACACACAGGAGTGTGCACGCGCACACACACAGACCCATCTGGTGGGGACTCCCCACCAGCAGAGCTGGCCTCTATCCGACCAGGGCAGAGGGAGCCTCAGTGTGGCACCTGTGACCTACCCCACGCAGCGCTGAAGACACCTTATCGCTCTGCAGCCCCACATGGCCCTGTGTGCCCATCTGGGTTCAGGGTCATCTCTCCTATTCTGTGAAGATCCAGACCTCTGCCCCACCCCCATCAAATTAGCAGAAAGGGCATTTTTACTAGACGTCAGGAATTCGGAGTTTTCTTCACTTTGTCACTTTGTAGAAAGTCATTCAGTGTATTTAGATGAACTAAGATCCCTTAAAATTCCAACATTCTATGACACAAAACAGCCAGAGCTGAGAGCTCTAAATGTGGAGACTGAAAGGGAGGTAAACGCCCCAGTTCTTCAACTCTTCTGGGGATGAACCATAAGAATCTTTGCTCTCTTGCTTTGTTTAGTATTTTGGGGCCATTGTGTTTCCCTCCTAATCTTAGACACAGCTGTCTGCTGTGCGGCTGGGCTGGGGTGCCGGGGTCTCTGTGCAGGACCACAGAGAGTCATTACGAACAGGGAAATGGACTAAAGTTCACTTGGCAACTCAGGTCTGCTCTGGCTATTTATAGTGCCATGGTCACAGGCAAGCTCAGTTTCTTAAGACTTTAGTGGTTTTTGAAAGGCGAGAGAGGGAAGCAAGTTCAGCACAGGCCTAATAAAAGCACTAAAGCAAGCAAGAGCAGATGCAGCGAAAAGAAACCCAGATCACGAGATGGGAGTAGCCCAACCTTTCCAATGAACAGGCAAGAATACGAAAGCCAGAAAGGCAAACTGCACCCAATCAATTCTTATTTCTGAGTTCCATGTGCTGGGCACTCGGCAAAGCCAAATACGGTCTCTGTCTTCATAGCATCCAGTGGCAACAAGCCTGCTCAAATGTCACACAAATGTTCGTGGTTGAGGTGAGGCCAGGTTTCTGAACCCTAAGTGTGGTCTTAAGCCACCACACAGTGGCCAGTGCACCTCCAGTGAGGCCCTGCCAGGCTTCCCAACCTGCCTGTTTTCCAGGCTTCTAAACCGAGGGGCTTCCTGCCCCAGGGACTAACTGGGGCAATGGATGAGGATCCTTCACCTGGGGACTAAGTTGGGACTATTTATTTGCAGAAAGACAGACTGATTTTGACAGAAGCAGGGAAAAGGTCACACCCATCTAGGGTACTTTTGTTTGCCTAAGGTGAGAACTTATCAGAATCCTGCTTAGGAGAGAAGTATTTCTTGAAAGCTCACTTTTTCTTTTTATAGTTTATTTCAAACTAAAGCAAACCTGAAAACCTGCATTCTATCTATATTTTAAAAATGTGCATTTCTCAGCAAGCCCTAGTGGGAATCAATCCTACAGAAATAAAGATAGCAACAAAGGTGTTATTATTTAGTGGGAAATGAACTAAGTGTCCATCTATAGGAAAATGATTACGTATGTCTGGTTCTTTTACACCACTAAAGATTGAAATGTTAAAAAAGGAGTCAGAACAATACATGCTGATCTACAGGGTTTTCCATGATATATGAATGAGTACAGAATGCAAGTTGCATATCTACATATATAGATGTTATGATCCCATTTTGTATCAAATAGATGGGAACCATAGCTATGTGTTTATAGTAGCAAAGAAAACAAATGTGGAAATATATACCACACTGTTAACACTGGTTCAGACTAACAGGATTTGAAGGTTATACAGATTATTAATATTGTTTATACACATATCTATACTTACTGGACTTATTTTGTAATTTAAAAATCTGATAAACCTAAATCATTTTTAAAAAAGAAAAAAATATCCCTGCATTCACATCTGATTTTTAACTCCTGGGATGAAAATTCTACTCTGTTCAGATAGACAGGGTGTGCTTTCACAGAGAGGATGAAATTGTTGACACTGCTGCGCCAGCTCGCACGTGCAGCGAGGTGGCCACACTGGCCTTGGCCCCTCTCCTCTGGCTCCTGACCTCAGGACTCACCTCAATGCAGAGGCAGGTGGGCTCTCCCTTCTCTGTGACTGCACATTCCCGGCCGGCTCCACAGAACACATTAGCACAGATCTTGGATTTACTCTTCAGTTCTTCCTAAAACACAGAATCATAAGAAAACCATGTCGCTGAAACACACCCACCTTGGGATGGGCCAATGGTGGGGATTATCTTTCAAGCACAGGGCTTGGTCTGGAGTCAGGGCTCATGGAGTCGAAGGGTCCTGAACCGCCAGAAGCTTCCCCAGCAGCCAGCACCAGCTTTGCCAGCACGGGCCCAGCCCAGGCTACTTGCAAGTCCCTAAGATTGTTTCTTAAAGAGCAAGAGCTCCTTTCTTGCACACTCCCTTTTTTCTACTAATGTTTATCAGGTAACATAATATTATCTATTATTTGCCAACATTATGCTAAGGAATGGCGATACAAAGGCACAGTCCCTGTCCTCAAGAAGCTCCATGATGCTCTGAGGAAACACAAATAAAGAGTTCTTTACAAAGCAATATGGAAATGCCAGGGAGCTGGAGGGGGAGAATCCAATGAGACACTGACATAGGAGGCCTTAACTGATTCCCAAAGGATGAGAAGAATAGATCCAGCAGAAATGGAAACATTAGACAGAAGGACGGATATCTGAAGGACCAAAATCTCACTAAGCAGTGCTCAAGGCCACTATCATCTCAAAAGGCGAAAAAAAGCTGGTTAGCCACGGAAGCAGGGTCTTATTTAGCCCCGCCTACATCTGCCTAGGGCTTCCACAACCACGGAGAGGGCCAAGCCATCCGACAAGCAGTAGAACTATCCTCAAACCACTTAGGGCCAGAATTCCTGTTCAGAGGACACACCAGAACTGAAAGGCAGGAGAGGGCTTTAATCTATGTCTCTGGGCCGCTGCCCACGGAGTGGCATTGCCTGAGACTAAACAACAGAGATGGTAGGGGCTGTGATGGGATCATGGGATTGGCCCTAGTAAAGGTGGAGTTGAAACTAAGATTCTGCCCTTCTGGTCACGTCTCGTATACCATGCGGGGACCTCACATGCACAAAGTCACTTCTAACAGTAAATTGTTACAGCTGGTAAAGGTTTTTCATCCAAGAATAAGTCAAAGCAAAAAACAAAGTAGATATTCAGAGCTGAGGGTCTGCGTCCAATACAGCTGCTCTGCTGCCACCTGGAGGATGCTTTGCAAACTCCAGGTTATTATTTTCTCCCTGAGCCAGCTTGCAAGTCATACAAGGCCCCCATTGGTCTAGAAACTCTTGCCATGCTCACATTTCATTGGTTCACACGCTGTAGTTACACCCATTCTTTTTGGATGTTGCTAAGGCAAATTCAATAAAGCTGGCAGGCAGGGAAGAAAAAGGAAGTAATTCCCAGAAGGCAGGGAGGCCTATAGAGCTGTTGTTTCCTGAACCAGGAATGGAGATAAAAAGAGAGCACATTCCCCACGCTGAGCAGCCCTCTTGAAACTATGTCTGGGAATAGAAAGCAGATCCAAAAAGGAAGAAGAAAAGGCTATCACTGACTAATAAAAAAAATCTCAGATAAGACTCTTCTTTCCCTTTCAGGAAACAACCCACTAACAGAGGGGCACAGACAAATATATAACCCTCTGTGGGTGTGTCACACGAGTTACAGACACACACACAGATGCATAAAATGCATGACGGGACATATGCCTACACTTGAAAGACACAGCTCCTCAACCTTCAGCACTTAGCTGCATGCTGTAACTAGTCACTTTAATTCTTTGAGCCTCAGTTTCCTCCTCTATAAAATAGGGATAAATACCAACCCTGCCCTGTGAAGGTGAAATGAAATAATGTATTTGGAAGTGCATCATGAACTGTAAAACAAACTGCCTATGAAAAGTGTTATTAATGTTAATGCTTATAGTGTTTCCTGTAGGGATAGCCTATGGCATTTATGGAGCCTCTTTTATTTTTTTTATCTTATGTTGTTGATTTTAATGTGTATTAAAAATAAAAGCTTTTAGTTATAAGATGAATTCAACCCAAGTCATTTTGCAGAACTAGTTCTCGAAAATCCATATAAAAACAGATACTCTTTATTTAAAATATAAAGACTAATACTTGAATAGTACAATTAAAATTTTTGAAGTGTTTTCATACATGTAATTTCATCTTACTGTGTGGACCTCCTTGAAAGAACATGAGTGTTATTAAGCCCATTTTATGGAAAAGAAAATTAAAGATCAGAAAGGTCAAGTAACTTCCACAAGGTCTCAGAGCTAAAATGAGGGGAGCTAGGTTCCAACCTGGATCCTCAGACAATAGATGATTAAGCTCCCATTTATAAATATATGGCACCCTGCTAAGAGATTTTTATTATATATTATATAATTTTTAAAAAAATTATTTATTGATTTGAGAAAAAAAGAGAGAGATTTGTCCTAGTTATTTATGCATTCATTGGCTGATTCTTGTATGTGCCCTGACTGAGGAATAAAACCACAGCCTAGGTGTGCTGGAATGATGCTCTGACCAACTGAGCTGCCTGGCCAGGTCCCATACGTTACCTTCATTCAGCTCTACAACAGCACCATAAGCTCAACAGCATAATCATTCCCATTCTACAGATGAGAGAAATAGGCCTTATCAGTTTACTAACTAGCTAGCCAGTGGCAGAACTATGATTCTACCAAACCTAAAGGAAAAGTTCTTTTATATTTATTTTCATACCCAGAAGATTTAAGGTTAAGGAAATTATAATGAGGATGTGATTGGCATAGGTAGTAAATGTCAGGAGAAAGTGCTTAACACTGTGCCAGAGAGTTGGATTTGAAATCCCACATCCCACCTCTGCTCCTTAGCTGCCCTGGTAGTGGGCAAGGCACTACCTTTGAACCTCAGTTTCCTCGTGCATACAGGGAGAACCCTGACCCCTACACAGCCCATGTGCAGATTAAATGAGATGTACCGCATGGAGAGGAGTGCCTGCCACACAACTGGAAGTGGCCATGATTATGGCGCAAAACAGAGTTTCGGACAGTTTTCCCGCTGAGATGCTAATTACCACTTCGGGCTGCCACATCCCCACCAGTTCCCCCCCTCCCCTTACCCCCCTTGCACTGGAGTGACAATACTGAGAGCAGGACAAACGGAACGGGAACATAAAAGGCCTACCAAGCCTTGTTTATCGTTTGGAGACCACAGAGAGACGCTAGCTACACAAGCATTTCTCCGTGCGGGTGGTATATCTGTCAATAGGTGGCAATCTCTCTCTTTGTCTCACAAGCCCAGAGCCAGAGCCGCAATGCAGAGCGAAGCCGGGCTCCTTCTGCCCCTCCCAGCTCTGCCTCCCTGCCCGGTGAGGTGGGGAGGTGGAAGATCGGGGCGGGTGCCCCACAGGCACCAGCAGCTGGAACCAAGAACTGGGGATCTGTCAGCTTGGGAAAGAATGTCTTACCTGAAGCCCTCATGATCCTCCCCAATTCTTCCTACTCACAGGCACGCTTTAGTGCAGAAATCAACCACAAAGAACATTTTCTCCCAAGACATGGCTTCTTTGCACCACGGAAAGCCCTTCAGGCTCCTGGGAAGTCCCTTAGGGTGGTTGGTGGTTTTACCCATCTGTTAAGTGACCGATTTTGAATGGGGGAGAACATCTTGAGATGTTCGTGGCAGGATCATGCTCACAGACAGGGAGGGACGTGGTGAGGGAGAGAGATGGGTGGGTCAGCAGGTGTTGGGGAGCAGGTCTTGCCAGCTGATCTGAGGGATTTCCCGTGGACCCGGTGGGCAGTGAGGACCTTGGGAAGTTTGGAATGGGGCCGGTGACATGACGAATGAGGTGACTTGGACCACGTGTCTAGTCCCTTTCGACTTAGAAATTCTGACTCCAAGTGTAGGGCAGCCTGGAGGGAGAGAGGCTGGAGGCAGCGAAACCTGCTGGCATAGGGCAGAGGTCTTTTGGGGGGTGAATGGCCGAGGGCCGAATGCCACTAATTAGAGCACCTACGACTGAGTGAAGCTCTTCACAGATATCTGTCCTCAAAACATTTGTGCGGGTTTCCATATTTTTCACCCCATGTAACATACCGGGCGGAACTTAAGATTCAGAAGAGCTCTGTGATGCACAGGGGCCATATAACTAGTGGCAGCTGAGTCAGGATTCTGACGCAGGTCAGCCCAGCTCCAGAGTCTTGGTATTTATTCCTTTACCAAGAACAGTCACGGGAGGGAGACTGAGAGAGGATACAGCTACCAGGGCCGGTGCAGGGAGAGGTCACAGGGCTCAACGCAGTTCTCACAGATGAAACAGAATTACTTGCTTTAACCACCATAACAATTTTAGGAATCAGGTCCCAAGGTTGTAGGAGAATTTCATCTACATGCAGGTAACCATATTTGCAGGTGAACATTCCCTAGGAGGGTGAGGTCATGGTATACAGTTTGAATGTACCTGTCAAGAGTATGACTGGGGAGAGAGGGTGTGTTCTGGAAGTTTGGACACCCTGATCCGTTGATAAAAATCAACAAAATACTTGCTTCCAATGGAGAAACATCAGGTTTCTAGCACCACCCATCTACACCATCTCTGACTTGCTTCTGTGTTGTTTCCATTATATGCTGCAAGCCATGCCCTGGGGGTCTGGGTCATGGTTAAGTTTCACTACGTAAACTCCTCTCAGTGAAGACTGAGGGGAACATTGCTGACCTTTACCAGGAAAAAACTTCCTCTCTGAGCAACAACCTCTGCATGGTAGTAAGTGATACTTTATATTTGTGCCAACAATTTTGATTAGTCTATAGTTTTTACTATCCTTTTTGATTTTCAAAACCTTTGAGGATAAGCTGGCAGGGATTCTCTCTCACGCCCTTCCACATGTAACACCTATGACGGAGAAGAACCCGAGACACAAGGACGGCTGGGACTGATCTAAGATCTCATGGGGCCTGGCCTGAGGGCCCCAACTTTCGTCCAGCCCTCTCCACTAAACCCTTTTGTCTTGGGTCCAAGGTTCAAAGAGACGGGGATTATTTTTGCACCTGAAAAAGCAAGTTATTTGCAAAACCACCACTAGAGGCGATAGTGTGTCTGAGTCTCTGGGCTGAGCAGCATTACGTCTGAACATA